ATTATATACTGTGGGTGTGACAAAAGATAAAAGGTGCTTCAGGTCCCTCCTGTTGGGTGGGCCATTGGGGTCATCTGGAAACACCTGCGATTTACGGAATGACGACGTTCCATACATCACAGGAGGGAAAAGGGCACCTTGAGAAAATTTCACGTCAAGTTACCTAATGGAACTCTTCAACCGTCAGACCAAAACCTTTGTTGGCTAATTTGCTCCTGGCTGTCGTTTCTATTTCAGATGTTATTATACTTTTCTCAATTAGAAAACTTTCTTCTTAAAGCTTTAAAAAAAGCTAAAATGTTAGTTCAAATAAAAGCCAATCCATGGACAAGCATTTGTTGCTAAATGGTCTGTGTACTATATATTTGTTTTATTTGTCAGTTAATCGCAGGTGTTTGAAGTCAAACAAAAAGAGTAGTTAACAACTGGAGCTAAGCTCCATTTACTTTTATGAAACTAGGTTTTTACAGGACATTAACAGTCAGATGCAGGTCGGAGCCGTAAAGTCGCTGCAGGTTTTCTGACAGATTTGCTTCACAAAGACTCTGTTTGGACAAACACTGCCCAGCTCGCCTCTACCTGTGGAAATACTGTAAGTAAACTTTCCGTGGCAGAACAGATGGACCACCTGCTGCCACTGTGATTTGTGCTGCTCCGTTTTGTTAGTCTACCACTGTGCACACACTCCACACAGGGCAGGTGGTGTACACTGGCAATGAAGCTGAGCACTTTTCACTGACTTGTTGCTATTCAGTATCAGCCAATTGCTTGAATCAATCAATCCACACCATATGTTGGCCAATAAAAATGTGTTTTGTTGAATATGAGTATATATCATATCATCAAAAAGCACAGTAACATGTGTATGAACAGCTATAAAGAAGACATTCTTCTGTCCTGTTTCATTTCCACCATACCCAACATCCCAGTTTCGTTGTACCCCCGTGGTACAATGACAATAAAGGCTATTCTATTCTATTCAGCAGCAAATGCAAATTGAATTACTGTCTGAGCTTTGCTCCCTAACTGTACAGTCCTGGCACTCCCTCTCAGCGAGCGGAGAGAACAGCAGCACAGGCCTGTTCCGTATAAGCAGCTGGATAATTACAGTCTTTATTTGAGTGTCTCGTATGATGGCTGGCAGGCAGTGTTAGCGCACTGTATTTGAGGGCGTGTGTTTGTTTAGTAACTTGTTGCTCAAATTGGATGATTGGAGAGTGTGTTAGTGTAGGGCTGTTAAGTGAGTGAATAAAAGGGGAGAGGTGGATGGAGCTACAGTCGATGACTATAACCTCGCTCTCTTCTCAACAGCCTCTCTTATTACACAATGACTCACATGACATGAAGAAGAGCTTTTCAGCTAAAGGCAGAAGACTGAACCGACTGGGAATGTTCCATCAGAACGTACAATAGGTGACTGTGTGGTTGTTATTCTGATTGCTCAGCGTTATAGTTCATATTTATGTTGTTCTCCACCTTTAGCACAGTTCACATTCATTTCTGAAGCCTGTTGTGAGTTTTAATCAGGAAGTTTTGATCCTTGTGGAGCGACGGCTTCCTAGATTAAAAATATATGTTTTGTGCATAACTAACGATATGTCAAATGTTAAATATTGTTAATTTTTTTGACAAATATTTATGCGTTTCTTGTGCATCTTAGTGGGAAAACAGAAAGGTAATTGGACAGTCTGCAAAAGCTCTCCGTTAACTCGCTTTTGAAAACAACAGCTTCAAATCTGTATGTTAGGTCAGAAAGACAGTACAAATAACTAAATGATGTGACAGAAATAGTGATAGTCTTTCTAATTGTTATTCCGTTGAATATGAATATTTCCGAACATACTTGTACTTCTTTGCATAAAAACAAAGAGAAAAACATGGAATTATTGTTTATACGTAATTATCTAATGATTGTACTGGTCCGGCCCACATGACATCAAGTTGGGCTGAATGTGGCCGCTGAACCAAAATGAGTTTGACACCCTGGTCTAGAATGTAGATATAGTCAGTATTCCCCTTAGTGTGTGTGTGCGGTTATATTATCTCTACTGTAAACAAGTGAAAATGATTTTTTTGCTCATTGCCATCATTCATGAGGTTGGCTACTAAGGCAACAGGACTAGAGGGAGAGTGCTGCTAATTAGCCACTTCCTTATTTGAGTGCACTTATTTACAGAGAAAGCACTTCAAGACTGTCAGCCATAAGCATGGACTAAGAATACAGAAGCATATTGAAAAAGCATGGCAAAGAAAGGATGCATACCTAACCACAGTAGTTTCATCAAGGGCAACTGGAATTCTTAAGAAGCCTCTTGGAGGAGAGGTCTTTGAAAACCAACCTACCAATCCAGTTGCCCTCGATGTAACCCCTTTGGATAAAAGGGTGGGAGCGTTCAGAGGGGGGAGGGGGTTCAGAAAGTGTTAAAATAAGTTAACCCTGAGATGAGGGAAACTTTGAGTTCTCCGTTCCAGAAAGAGACATAACTAAAACTCTGAGTCAGTCGCCATGGTAACATACTCTGCGAACATAACCTGCTCCCACATAAAGCTTTTGTTTGACCTGAATTGTCCATTCATTCCAAATCCGAATGATATTGAAGCCAGCATTTGCAGTATTAACAGTTAAGATGAATTAAATTTATAACTTATTTTTGAAAAAATGACTTTTTTTTCCCAGGTGTATACCAATTTTATGGGCTAGCATGAGTGAATGTGTATTCCAGTGTTGTTTCTGTTGTGTAGAGGTTGCATAGTTGACAAAGCATACAAATATGACAGACCATACAAATTTGATAGAACACCGTCTCTCTTTCTTTCTCCTTCACTGCTGCAGTGAGGTTACTTTTACGGCAAATTACAAAGTCATGATCTCCATAGGCCTGCATTAATACCTCCAATTCCATTAGGGTCAAATAAGTAGATTTTTTTTTTCTCCGGTTGTCATGGTTTCTCTTAGGGTCAAATAAGTAGATTTTTTTTTCTCTGGTTGTCATGGTTTCTCATGGTATCTGTGCTCCATTGATGATGGCTTTTCATAGTGGTTGTGCACAGGAGTAACTCAAAGTGAACATACTTTGAGTTGATTGAACTAATTCAGATGGCTGTTCGATACGTCAACTCAGAGTTCATGGATAAACTCAGAGCTTTTTGAACCTTCTTTCTGGATTTACTCCCTGGGCGACTGACAACCTACACAGACACGATACATACTTAAATACGCTCACCTTTGTTTTTTGCAGGTTTCTGTATCTCAACATGTGGAGAAAAAGTGAGAGGGCCTGCTACTAAACCAGGAGCAGAGACGAACAGCAGCTACTTCTTTCATCATCAGGATCAGGGATTATTTGTTCTTCCTTAGTGTCTTCAACATCACTGGAGAAGAAAGTGAAAATAGATAAGAAAAAGTAACACAAAGTGAATCTGATTTTCCGGTACTTTTCTGATATTCTTCCCTCTTACCCCTTACTGGTGGCTCTCAGAATGAGCAGCTTGGCGGGAAAACTGGATCCTCGCAGGATACAGTGGGGGGCCACATGGAACACCTTCACATCCCGGGTCCTGAGGACCAAACCGGTGGAGTCCATGTTGGATTCTGCCATGACTGGTACTGGGTCCCATGGCACCCGATTGGCTCGTGTGTTGTCCACAGTGGACCTGGTGTCGCTGGGGGTGGGCAGCTGTGTGGGGACAGGGATGTATGTGGTCTCAGGGCTGGTGGCAAAGGAGAGGGCCGGGCCGGGGTTCATCGTGTCCTTCATCATTGCTGCTGTGGCCTCCATACTGTCAGGTGAGGCTGGAGGAAAAGACAAATGTCACAAGTGTGTTGATAATGTACCGTGTCCTGATTTGTACAAAAGGCGCCTGGGTTTTACAACCTGTTCATTTTATGTGGAATGAAAATGTCAAACATCCAGGTAAACCAAAATACAGCAAAATAGGCAAAAATTCTGCTTAAAGAACTATGACCTATGATGGCTGAAGCTAAAGAAATGCAAAATAGCCAGAGATGATACGTAAAAATGTTTTCCATACTTAGCTATCGTTGAAATTAGCTTAAAAAAGGCACAGTTAGTTAGTCATTAAAAGAATGAGACAATGACAACTGATAAATTAGACAAAAATACCCCCAACAATATATAGCTGAAGTTAGTCAAAAAAAAAATCAAACTACATGATGACAGACCTATTGAGAAAATCAATATAATTAATCTAGAATTTCACATCCACTGAAATGGAATTAGAGATATAAGCAACCATTAGCCTGATTTACCCAAATGGCAACATAGACGTGACTTAAATTTGCGGTCACCACCGTTTTCACTCACAATCAATGTCAATTTTGAGAGATGAGCAGTTCACAAAACAACATCCTAAATATCTGGGTGTCCTCATCTTACCTAGCAATTCAGAGGGGGGAGGGGGTTCAGAAAGTGTTAAAATAAGTTAACCCTGAGATGAGGGAAACTTTGAGTTCTCCGTTCCAGAAAGAGACATAACTAAAACTCTGAGTCAGTCGCCATGGTAACATACTCTGCGAACATAACCTGCTCCCACATAAAGCTTTTGTTTGACCTGAATTGTCCATTCATTCCAAATCCGAATGATATTGAAGCCAGCATTTGCAGTATTAACAGTTAAGATGAATTAAATTTATAACTTATTTTTGAAAAAATGACTTTTTTTTCCCAGGTGTATACCAATTTTATGGGCTAGCATGAGTGAATGTGTATTCCAGTGTTGTTTCTGTTGTGTAGAGGTTGCATAGTTGACAAAGCATACAAATATGACAGACCATACAAATTTGATAGAACACCGTCTCTCTTTCTTTCTCCTTCACTGCTGCAGTGAGGTTACTTTTACGGCAAATTACAAAGTCATGATCTCCATAGGCCTGCATTAATACCTCCAATTCCATTAGGGTCAAATAAGTAGATTTTTTTTTTCTCCGGTTGTCATGGTTTCTCATCTGTGCTCCATTGATGATGGCTTTTCATAGTGGTTGTGCACAGGAGTAACTCAAAGTGAACATACTTTGAGTTGATTGAACTAATTCAGATGGCTGTTCTGGAACTAGATACGTCAACTCAGAGTTCATGGATAAACTCAGAGCTTTTTGAACCTTCTTTCTGGATTTACTCCCTGGGCGACTGACAACCTACACAGACACGATACATACTTAAATACGCTCACCTTTGTTTTTTGCAGGTTTCTGTATCTCAACATGTGGAGAAAAAGTGAGAGGGCCTGCTACTAAACCAGGAGCAGAGACGAACAGCAGCTACTTCTTTCATCATCAGGATCAGGGATTATTTGTTCTTCCTTAGTGTCTTCAACATCACTGGAGAAGAAAGTGAAAATAGATAAGAAAAAGTAACACAAAGTGAATCTGATTTTCCGGTACTTTTCTGATATTCTTCCCTCTTACCCCTTACTGGTGGCTCTCAGAATGAGCAGCTTGGCGGGAAAACTGGATCCTCGCAGGATACAGTGGGGGTCCACATGGAACACCTTCACATCCCGGGTCCTGAGGACCAAACCGGTGGAGTCCATGTTGGATTCTGCCATGACTGGTACTGGGTCCCATGGCACCCGATTGGCTCGTGTGTTGTCCACAGTGGACCTGGTGTCGCTGGGGGTGGGCAGCTGTGTGGGGACAGGGATGTATGTGGTCTCAGGGCTGGTGGCAAAGGAGATGGCCGGGCCGGGGGTCATCGTGTCCTTCATCATTGCTGCTGTGGCCTCCATACTGTCAGGTGAGGCTGGAGGAAAAGACAAATGTCACAAGTGTGTTGATAATGTACCGTGTCCTGATTTGTACAAAAGGCGCCTGGGTTTTACAACCTGTTCATTTTATGTGGAATGAAAATGTCAAACATCCAGGTAAACCAAAATACAGCAAAATAGGCAAAAATTCTGCTTAAAGAACTATGACCTATGATGGCTGAAGCTAAAGAAATGCAAAATAGCCAGAGATGATACGTAAAAATGTTTTCCATACTTAGCTATCGTTGAAATTAGCTTAAAAAAGGCACAGTTAGTTAGTCGTTAAAAGAATGAGACAATGACAACTGATAAATTAGACAAAAATACCCCCAACAATATATAGCAGAAGTTAGTCAAAAAAATCAAACTACATGATGACAGACCTATTGAGAAAATCAATATAATTACTCAGAATTTCACATCCACTGAAATGGAATTAGAGATATAAGCAACCATTAGCCTGATTTACCCAAATGGCAACATAGACGTGACTTAAATTTGCGGTCACCACCGTTTTCACTCACAATCAATGTCAATTTTGAGAGATGAGCAGTTCACAAAACAACATCCTAAATATCTGGGTGTCCTCATCTTACCTAGCAACAAAAGAGGTTGCTGTTCAATCATAGAAAAGACACAGGACACACACACTGGCAGTGCTATCACTGGGAAGGTGAAGAAGCCATTTTGAATGTGGGTGGAGCTTATAAAAGCTGGTTCTCCAGGTGGCGTAAAACACCACACAACACAACAGCAGTACTCATTACATACTGTTATCAAAGTTATCAAAGACAAAGACACTGAAATGTAAAACAAAATAATAAGCCAGTCAATGGTCGGTGGACACCATTTAGCCACATTTATGTAAATGCACAAGATAAATATGAGAAGAAACAGATAAAAGAGAAAAGAGAAAATTTTGTTGGTGGTATTTATCACAAAGTCATGAAAATTTAAAAAGTATTAACTTCATACGTCAATGATAAATTGGTCCTTTTAGCTTGAGCTTTAACTTTGCTACAAAGGATGATAATTTAATCTAAAATGTTTGCACAGAGTGAGCGAGTTAAATTTAAAACCCAGCAGACACAGGAAACATCTGCACCAGATGGACTATTATGAATTAAAAACCACAGGACAGAGGTTAGAGTCGGACTGCATCACCGTTAAACAGATAGAGTTATTGTGAAGAGCCTTTTATTAAGTATGCAATTATTACGAGGTCAACGATATAGAGCGGAACAAGCTATAATATAAAAGGCACTCAGAGTATATTTTACTGCCCTCTCAATGTTCCTGTCAATACTCTCACTTCGGCCTTTCACTTAAGAATCGTGTGTGTGTAATTCCCTCATCTCTCCTGCAGGAGTGTGTTATGCAGAGTTTGGCGTCCGCGTGCCTAAGACCACCGGCTCCGCCTACACCTACAGCTACGTGACAGTGGGCGAGTGCGTGGCCTTCTTCATTGGTTGGAACCTTATCCTGGAGTATCTCATTGGCACTGCAGCGGGAGCGTCGGCTCTGAGCAGCATGGCCGACTCGCTGGCCAATCACAGCATCAGTAACTTCATGATTTCACACATTGGGACTCTCAACGGCCTGGGTGAGAGAAATAGCGGTTTATGATTAGCGGTGTTTGTCGATGCTCAAATGATTGTGAATTCTATCAAAGTCTTCAGTCTCGACTGGAACTGGATGAAGCTTTTCTTCTTTTTAGTCCTCCTACTTTATTTTCCGTCACACAAAAAGATGCACACAGGAAGTACTGCTACATTTGGAGTGTAGGAGCACACCTTGCTCTGCAGTGGTGTTGCCTTGTTTTCATCAGCAGCTGTTGTTCAATGACCGTAAAGTAGCTATTTTATCAATTTTTCCATTGGTGATTCTGTGAGCGATTACGATGTATATTCAAAAAGCCCAGGTATTTATGTGTATATAAGTGTATATTCAAAAAGCCCAGGTATTTATCTAAGCCGACCCACCGATTTGAGTTTTGTTTTTTTGGTGTTTTAAATCCGGCTTATATTCGAGTATTTACGGTAACCGATGAAGCCAAGATGCGCAGATCAGAATAGATTACGCTACGCTAGCTACGTCAGTTTTCATGCATATCGTTATTCTACTTTTCTACAACACTCCCCAGAAGTGTGTGTCAACAGTGGTCATATCTGGATCATTCTGCCCTGATATCCTGACTTCCTGTTGGACAAACGGGCTGTAACGGTCACACGATGAGCGGCGAGCCCAGCTGTTCCACACCACGATGGAAATTACCCCCCCGCCACCCTTTTTCTTCTTCCTGATGAAAATATATTACGCCTGTTTCTCCACAGCCTAAAACCTGAACAACCCTCATTAGTTATTAAACACAGAGGGAGTGGATGTGAAGTCTCATGCTGTGGAACGTAAACACTCATGAATCAGGTTAATTATGAACTCATCGGTTCATTCTGGTTAATGATGCAGATAAACGGGCGTCGAATTAAGAAATGTGACAGCCATAAGATGTGTTTACAAAACAAAACAAAAATACGTTCACCACAGCTGAGACGACAAATATGGTCTTAACACTTCAGCAGATTAGCTAAACAACACGATAGGATATATAATAAGATAACACACGATGCGATACCATATAACACGATACGATACAATATGGTATGATACGATACCTTATGATCCAATACTGTAGGATATGATGTGGTATGAAAACTAACACTATCAAGATGTGTCAACCTCACTGCGAAAAGTCTAGCCAAGAAAATATAACAATAAGCTAGCTCAGATAAATCCTAGAATACGGTAGAATTGCCCAGGATTATAAAACAGAAATGACTCCACAGTCACTGAATCTGAAAAGTTCCTTGTTTGGTCCCAAGGGTGAGCTGATGTACTGTATCAAAAATGGATATATTATCAGAGTATTATCAAAGTGTTTGACGTTGTGTGTGTGTGTGTGTTTCTCCACATAAAGGTAAAGGAGAGCAGTCGTATCCAGACCTGTTGGCTCTGCTCATAGCTTTGCTGGTGACGGTGATTGTAGCTCTGGGAGTGAAGAACTCCGTAGGTTTCAACAACGCCCTGAACGTCATCAACCTCATCGTCTGGGTGTTCATGATGATCGCAGGACTCTTCTTTGTCAACGGAGAAAACTGGGATGAGGGAAGGTTCCTGCCCTTTGGCTGGTCAGGGGTAGGCACAAAAGCACAAAAACAAGCACAGAGTATTGATATTGTGAACCAGTGACTTTTACACACACACACACACATATATATATATACACAAATATATGATATTATTTTAAACCTAATATATATACACAAATATATGACATTATTTTAAACCTATTTTTTTTTTATACACAAATATATGACATTATTTTAAGTCTAATATTTTTTTTAAAAACAAATCATGACCCTGAAGCAGTCTCTTAATCAGTACCACACACATTTTTTAGCGAGCCCCCTGAGGGGCACGGTGAGGTGTCGGGGGGCGTGAGGGGTTTCCAGTGGAATATGGCAAGCATATGGACATAAGTGTACCACTGCTGTGATATGCATGAATGATAACAAGCCTCCAGTCACTAGGTGGCAGCAACTCATACAGTGGTTTGTACAAATAAAAATATATGTTATCAGGTTCTCAATTTTAATTCAAATCGTGGGGGTATGGGAAGGGGGTGTGTGAAAACACTTCTGTCCCCAAGAGGGGGTGTGACAGTAATTAAGAACCACTGCTCTAAATGGACCCCTGACCAGTCGCAGACCCATGTTGAGAGACTTTAATGTAAAGTACCCCAGCGTCTGAGCGTACAGTACGTTCCTGAACTAATTCTTGTTTCCACCGTGTTCCAGGTGATGCAGGGAGCAGCTACCTGTTTCTACGCCTTCATTGGTTTTGACATCATTGCTACAACAGGAGAAGAAGCGAAAAGTCCCAACACGTCCATCCCGTACGCCATCACTGCCTCACTCATCACATGCCTCACTGCCTATGTCTCTGTAAGTGACGGTAGCTGTGCACTGATTACACCGATATTCACCACAAATATAATGGCTTGGATGAACTGGTCTAGACTGGTGCTGTGGTATGTACTGTACGGTTGCAGGTTAAATTCCACCTAGTCAGGTTGGTCAAGCCAAAAGTTGCACTGAATGGCCTGTATAACACAGTAGCTGGGTGGTACAATAGAATGAAATGAACACATGAATGAATGGCTTCAAACCCCTGGCTCATGTACCACCCGCAGCCCGTTTCTTCTACCTTGTAGCCCTTTATGGGCGTATTACTAAGTTCTGTCCAAAGTATTATTTGAATCCATTAGTAAGATAAATACTGGGTTTGTTTCTACTCTGTGACTCTGCCTGAAAATATTTGTTTTTCCCAGTTTATAAGCCTGTTATTGATGTTATCCATGTGTATGTAGACTGGGATTACATAAATAACATGTATTTGTTTTGACTTGCTTTAAGGTGGTGTAGTTTGACTGAGTGACTTTCTGATTCATGAGTAAAACTGATTAGATCTGTGTTTAATCAGACCCTTATGTTTGACCTCAGGAAATAATGATGTTGATATCTAGAAATTCAGGTGACATTATTGTTTTGGGTTTCAAGATGTTAAAAAGAAGGTTTCTGGTGTTTCCTCTCTTTATACGTTTTGAAAGCACAGGTAAGAAGCTGTTGTCCAATTTTCAGACTAAAGTTGTGCATATGATACATGGGTCTGTTCCAGCTCTGTGGGCGTGCATCTCATTTTTGTGCTTTAGATATTCCAATCCAGATTTGTAACTTTGACACTGAAAGGCTGTTGCTATGACTACAATTTAACATCCGCCTATCAGGAAGAAGAGTTTGTCAGCGTCGCCCGAGGGGGCAAAAGAGTGCATTAGCTTCACAACGTCAACTCTTTAAAACCTGTCCGAGACACATCTGGTTCTCCGTATAAGAACTCAGTTGTGCTTTTCTCCACCTCATTTAATGGCCATCTATTTGGGGCTGATCTCACTCCCTGACTTTTCTCTCCCATCTGGATCTGCTTGCTGCAGCAGGTCTTCACGTTTCATTTCCCCCAGAAAAAAAACCTGTGTCTCAGACCCAAAAAATTGGTGATAAAACAGTCTTTGTCCTGTATTTATTAGTAGCTCTGGTCTATACAGTACAGGGTATATACAGTGACCACATGTGGAAATGTTGACCCCTTTTTTACTGTTAGTATTTTTTCCTTCTTTTTTTTTTACAACGTTTGAAAAAAGTTGTTTTGAGTGAAAATTCACATTGAGGGTCAGATTTAACATTTCCTTTGCCTTAGTGCAGAGGTGATCAGCTAGGTCTGTTCCAAGATCTGGCCCAAGAAGTCTCCGCTTACTATTGGATAGTCTGATTCCTCTTAACTTTACCTTTGTTTTTTATTTTTAGAAATTAGTTTTATTTTGATTTGTTTACTAGGTTTTAGAAATTAGTTTTATTTTGATTTGATTTGTACTTACTAGTAAAGAAAGTAGACTGGTTGTTCAACAGACTTAATGCTAGCTAACAAGAAGCTCAGCTAATAGTTTGATTATAATAAACTGGGTTAAGCAACACAGTAGACAATGACTGAATGACATTGCATGTGTATCATATACAAAGCAGCTAGTGTTATTGCACACTGGCTAGCACTGGCCTCTAACTTTCTGAAGTTGCATTAGCAGCCTGTGCTACATGTTGGGGAAGAGGTAAGAGAGGGCAGTGTCCTTTGATATTCAAAGTCTTTGGTATTTTTATAGTTATTTAACATAATTGACTGGTTGTTTGTTTGTTTAATTGTATTTTTTTAACATTTCCCTCCCTTTCTGCTTACTTCAAAAATGTGATAACTAACTAGCTGTGTGGTAGCCCAACTTTAGGCTTATTTTGCTTTACTTACTCACTAACCTTTGGGTAAAAATGATTTTAGTAATTTGTGTTTTTGTGTATATTTTTATACTTTTTATAACATGTATTCACTAATTAACCTGTAGGACAATGTTTGTGTTCTTTGGAATTGTATTTTTTTCATATGTTCTCAACTCTTAACCCCAAAGTAAGGATTAATTTGTTGCCTAAACCAGGTTCTGAATGCTTGCACTGATTGGAAACAAAGTCATGACTACAGGACAACTGTAACACAAAGAACCATTGTTGTGTTTCCATTCAAGGTCTCAGTGATCCTGACTCTGATGGTTCCCTACAATGAGATCGACGCCGACGCCCCACTCATGGAGATGTTTGCCGTGCACGGCTGTATGTTCGCCAAGTACATCGTAGCAGTCGGCTCCATAGCTGGACTCACTGTCTCTTTACTGGGTTCCCTCTTCCCATTGCCCAGAGTCATTTACGCCATGGCAGGAGACGGCCTGCTGTTCAAGTCAGGGCTCACTTATCACTTATCCTTATCATTAACCATCATGGCTGTCCACCTGTGTCTAAATCAAACCTTTGTGTGTGACTTTAGGTTCCTGGCAAATGTGTCTTCCTACACAGAGACCCCTGCTGTTGCCTGTGTGGTCTCTGGGTTCCTGGCTGCCCTGCTGTCTCTCCTGGTCAGCCTCAGAGACCTGATAGAGATGATGTCCATAGGAACCCTGCTGGCCTATACCCTGGTGAGTGGAGGATAATGAAGGACCATACATACAGTACTGACAGTATATACCATAGGCTTACTTAGTGCAGCTTTCTATACTTAGATTTTCATGATAAGTTGTTCATAACAGCAGGGGTCTGTTAATTAGCAGACTGCAGGATCCCATCTAAAAACACATGCTTTATTATGAAGACCCACAGCTGAGAGTAGAAAATAGTCAGCCAAGGAATGGACAATGAAGACAAAATGTTCTGCCATAACATTTGAGTTCATCTCCAATGTTTTTATGAGGATAACTAGTAGATAAGAGTGTTAACGAAACTGAACAAATACCTCAACTTGAATTTAGAAATACGGCAGAAAAAAAGGGATGAGTATGCAGCTGCGTCAATATTTGTAAGCACAGCTCATGTAGATGCCCCCTCTGTCCTGTAGAGGGAGGTATAAGTGATGTCATTTCTAATGTATGACTGCTGCTAATGCTAATTTATTTAAGCTAGTTTAGCTTAAATCAAGCTGTTTTTAGTAACTTTAATCTGTTAATGTGCTAATATTTTACTTATTACCGTTTAGCTATTTTTACTATCTGTGAGACATTTTTGTAGTGCTGTTTGTGGTCTGTTATTCTCTAATCCAATTTGTCAATATTTGCTGCTAGCTTTTAGACTCGGAGGCTCTAAGACTAGCTATTTTTTGCTGTGTTAAAGTTTAAGAACTATTTAAGAATACTTCTCGATACATTGACTTGTTTTTTTGCTAGACCTTTAGCCAACTTCTAACTCTTTTTGTGCCACCCCAGCTAAACTTAGGCGAGTTTAGCTAACTTGACATTTGATTTCCCACAGACGAGACTTTTGTATCAAGTTGTTCTTACTTTCCTGCAGGTGAGTCTGTGCGTCCTCCTGCTTCGGTACCAGCCTGAGGGCGACATCCACGGCTTTGTCAATTTCCTCTCTGAAGAACAGAACAGCAAAAGGAAGGAAGGTGTCTTGGCCGAGTGCGAAAAAGAGGCCTGTTCCCCCACCAGCGAGGCCGACGAGTATGGAGGTCAGTCCACCAACACCTGCGGAGCCAAAAACCTTCCGTCACTGGGAGACAACGAGATGCTGATCGGAAAACCCGATAAAAATGCCTACGCTGCCAGTCATCCAAACTACGGCACAGTGGACATGACCACTGGAATTGAAGCAGAGGAGTCGGAGATGGGGATGTCCAGACGGCTGAAGAAGCTGATTGGACCGCGTTACTACACGCTGAGGATCAGACTGGGTCTGCCAGGAAAGATGGACAGGCCGACTCCAGCCACTGGGAAAACAGTGACTGTGTGTGTGCTGCTGCTCTTCATCTTCATTTTCGCTTTTTGCTCCTTTATTATATTTGGTGAGAACACACACACAGAGATGTAAATAAAAGTTTAGAATCTGACGTTGGCAAAACCCTCCAGAGTGAGACTGGAAAGTACAATTTGTTGGAGATGGGTAATGCAGTAATATTGCAGTAATCATATTGATGAGGAGAATAAGACAACACTAACCGTCGACTGTTGTGAATTCTTTTGTACAACAGGGGATGAAAAGGTGCTTTAGAATATCTATTTGGATAAAAGGGAGTGACATTAATAAGCTGTTTGGTGCACTATATGACTGCAAGTGAACCAGAGTTCACTTGCTTTGATAGTCTGCTTTCTTTGAGCAGGTGTAAAATCTCATCCTTGCATCATGGCTGAAGGTCTTGGTTCACTTGTTAACGTTGGTGTGGATGGTTTACAGTGGAATATCAAATGGTCTATTTAGCAAATCAAACAGGAAGTGAACCGAACAGTGGAAGGGATGATTGATTTATGGCTAAAGTTCTCTTTCTAGTCCTGGACAATTGTTAAATTGGTTTTTATCTATTTCTCCCCGGTCCGTGCCAGTTACTGGCAATTTATTGGGGCAATTTAAAAAAAAAACTTATTTCTCCCCGGTCCGTGCCAGTTACTTGCAATATTGCCCTGAGTAATGCCAGTTACTGGCAATTAATTGGGGCAATTTAAAAAAAAACGTTTTGTTCCACTTCTACAAGTGCATTGTGAAAAGTGAACCAAACCAAATGAAGGTGCACATTAATTAGCATCCCTGGTATAGTTTCTCAAATATTAAATATTTTGTATTTGTATCACAGCGTACGTCAGCCTGACAACTTTTCCCGGAAAATAACCAAAGCTTTTTGTTGATGTTATTCCCCAAGGAGCAAGTTTTATTGGAGAAGGCCACTGGTGGGCGCTGCTGCTGCTCATCTTCCTCATGATCCTGATCGCCCTCCTCGTCATCATCATCCTCCAGCAGCCTGAGAACCCCAAACGTCTGCCCTACATGGCGCCCTGTGTGCCCTTCGTCCCTGCCTCGGCCATGCTGGTCAACATTTACCTCATGCTCAAACTGTCAGCCATCACCTGGATGAGGTTTTCAATCTGGTGTTTTGTTGGTAAGTGGAGCAGCAGTGTTATTGTTGTTTTCACCGTTGGATTATCAGGCAGGATTCACACCGACGGTCGACGAGTGGCTGCATCAAAACACACTCAGATCTTTAAACATCTGAGTGTTACCTTTCACCAGTCCTCACAGTCACTTTTTCACTAGTCACTGTTTCCAACTATTCTTTAAGTTATATTTGGCTCAAGCTTTATATAAGTTTGTGGGATTTTTTCTGAGGAAATTTCTTACATTTAGATTTGTCAGAAATCTTTTCAACCTTTTTCTTATCCTAAAAACATTCTCGGCTGATTTCCTGTTTCACTTTTTTGTAAAGTATTTGGATAGATTTTGAACTCACAATCACCATTAAACTTTTTTTAGCCGCATTTCCCACTCACCTTGCTAACATTTTGGTTGTTTTGGCTTATATTGTATAAGCTCTGGTTTAGAGCAATATGTTTTAGATATTAATGGAAGTGTCTGTGTCTCTCCAGGCGTCCTCATCTACTTTGGCTACGGCATGTGGAACAGTACGTTGGAGATCACGGCCAGAGAAAACGAAGTCCACGCCTCCACCTACCAACGATATAACCAGGGCGTGGACGAGGGCTTCTGTGGCTTCGATGATGATTTTTACCCACCCACCACTGAGTCATGGGGAGCCCCCGGGGGCAGCTCAGGGCTGAGTCCACCCCCACAGGCAAAACCTGAGAAGGAATCTCAAGATTGTGGCAGGACCGTGGCCAATCATGGCCTTGTTGAGGAAGACGCCAGGGATTCCTAGAGACTGACTCTGAAGTTTCCCCTGAATGTACTGCCTTTGTCTGCTGCCTGGGGGACGGGACGAGGAGTGTGAGTGCATGAAAGTGTGTGTGTGTGTGAGTCAAGGTGTGTGTTCATGTCTGCATGTGTACACTTTATATGTGCGTATTTGTGTGTGTCGCACCCTTGGGCTAGATGGTGGAAGATTCTATTGATGGTTGACGTGGATCAAATTCATGATCCCAAAAATCTGGCCCAGGGACCATTCATGGCACGTGGGCCAGATTCATGAGAACTGAGACATTGTGTAATATCACAACTTCTTTAAGGCCAATTTTATTTAAATTCATTTTTTACCCAATTTAAGCCGAATTCTATTTTTTATATATCTTTTTAGCTAACCTTTAGCTATTTCCTTGCTCACTCTCAATTTAAAAAAAAAACAATTCACCTATTCTGGCATGGATTTAAGCATAAACCTCTTTTATTTGTTTTGCCATCCTTGCTCACTCTCAATTTAAAAAAAATTAATTCACCTATTCTGGCATGGATTTAGCAATTTTTATTGAATGATAAATATGCACTAATTAAAGGTATTTTCTTTAATTAGTGCATATTTACATGTATGTCCTAAACTTTTCCATATTTTGAACCTTTTTGGCTTCTATTACTGAGTTAACCTTTAGCTAACCTACAGTATGAGCCAAGTTTGTTTGACATATATGTTGTAAATATGTTTGGCTAACTTAAGGATGTTTTGACAACTTCTAGTCCTCTAACCCGTCCTTGTGTCATCAGACTGACAATGTGTAACTAAACTGTTTTGTATCACTCCGCCACACTTGGTTCACGCTGCTGTCGTAGAGTCAAGGTCACGAGTATCTTTGTCACTTATTATCCCACGCAAAGAACTCGCAGACACAGCAGGAGATAAAACTGCACGGTGAACCACACGTCACCGTTATCAGTGGATCGTTAGAATGTGAGGACTCACAGGATGTTGGTGATGAGTGAAGGAGAGATGAATCAGCACATCTCTTCCTGTTTCCACAGACAGAGAAAAGTTGGACAACATTCCCAAATTGTGAGATTTCCGTTGTCCACCTTCTCTGATTGTTTTATAGTCAGAATAATAGCCTTGAACGCCCCTGAATGCTGACAAAAATATCACAGATTTCTTTCGGGGTATTTTTCAAAAGTTTCCCCTGACCACAAACATCTAGCCCAAAGGTCTCTGGGATGCAGAAGGAGCGAGTTGATGTTTTCTGTCAAGAGTCGTACTTTGGACTTTGCTTGCAATAGTGCCTTCATCTACTGTCAGTGTCTGTGACGTCTCCTTACCTGTGTGTGTGTGTGTGTGTGTGTGTGTGTTAGAGAGAGAGAGAGGGTGAGCGAACGTACGTGCAATCAAACTTTTAGAGTTTCACACTGATTCCCACGCTCTTGGTTTGTGCAGATATTATGGCGTCTTTTGGATTCTTTTGCCGTGCGTGTGGAGGTGTTTGTTTCATTTTGTTCTTTCCACTCCCTGCCCTCGGCATGAGAATCTGCTGCGCACAACAAAGTAACTTAGGATTGAAGATAACGTGTTTATCGGCTGACAGAGGAGGAGGCGGAGGAGGAGAGAGAGGAGGCTGAGACAGAGAGAGGACAGATTGGATTATTTATTGATGTATTTAATTTGGAGATTATCATCTTTTCTGTGCTCCTGTCTCAGTCCCTGCAACTTTTTATGTAGGAAAGGATTTATTTTTTATTCATCCTTCAAATTATTTAAATTATTTAAAGTCCCTTCAGCCAATCAGTGCACAATTTTACTTTTAAATTTACATTTTATTATTGGCTTTCAGTCTTATTTGGAAGTATCTTTTAACTGAATATTTCTCTTTTTTTTTTTACGTTTATGACAAACGATTGGTTTGGCAAATTTTAGCTCCTTTTTTGCTTCATTATGGATTTCTGTATAATATTTTAGCACTTAGTAACATTTTATCTGTGCTGAATGTGGTAAGCTTTGTTTGTTTGGGAACTTTTATATTAATATGTTATAATATTCTTTTTAGAAATATGTGGGCTATTTGTACATTAGCAAACGTTTTTTTGTGGTATTTCTAAAATGAATTTATATTTGTCATTTAATCGCATTTTTTATGTATTCAATCATCATCATCATTGTTTTGCTAGCATTGTTTATAAAATTACAGGAAGGCAGGGACAAATTTGGCCTGTATTTACTTGAATTAACTGTTGAACAAAAAGCATTTGTCATGCACTAAAACAACGAGTTAGAAAACAGAGATTTAAATATAGTCTAACATGTCACATGCCTCAGGCATTTTCAAATTTTCTACAAGAACACACCTAAAAGACTTGTTTCTCTAACCCTGCTACATTCTAAAAGAACTCCAAAAAAGGAATCTAACATTTAGTTGTTTTGATGAATTATTTAACTGACTTCCACTCCAAGAACTCCAACATTTCTAATTTAAAAATTATTTAACTGACTTCCACTCCAAGACAACATTTCTAATTTAAATTCATTTAAATGAATTTATCATTATTTGTGAATTGTCATCTTACACCTTGTTAGATGAACTAAAGTCTAATTCCTTTTAGCCATTATTGCTTCCTGGGCTATAACCGTTGTCATCCTTGTTACTTTTGCTCCATCAGTTCAGGTCAAAGAGGTTGACCACTGCTGGATGTCATTCATTTTTTTCCCTTCACTTGTTGAAGAGTTAATGCATGATCCATTAGCTGGTGGTTTCACCCCGACGTGTCTGTGTCTCATCATCTGACTTGTCATAAAAGTCTTTGCTGTGGTCCAGGTTTGTGTGAGTCAGCTTCAGTGTTGCATCTATTTTTCTGCTTTTTAGCTCCACCTGTGTCACCTTAGCTGTTACTGCGACCTTAGTTATTACATTTGAATAGAGAAAAAAAAGAGTCTTTTTGTAACGCTAATGGTGCCAAGGTTTAGTTCAGTCCAGTCCAGTCCAGGTAATTGTGTAGGGGTTAACACCAAATAGTACACTGTTGATTCACTACATTTGGAGGAGGGAGCTGCTGCGTTGCTGATGTCTGCCTGTTTCGGTCTTTGTGCCCCTCTGTTGCTGCATCTGCCCTGTTACAGGGAAGCCTTACTCGTCTAATGCACTAAATCAAAGGATGCCACGCTGAACCTCCATTCCCTACCTCTGCTCCTGTCACATCCAAACACTTTGGAATATTAGGATGTATTCACATAGGACTAGGTCAGAGCTGGGGTCAATGCAAATGCCCTGACCCTTAGACATCCAAATAAATGATTCTTCCTTTGTCAACGTCATGCAGACACGGTCAGATTTGTCCCTGTGTTTTTATCTGGCCTATGGACTATATATGAAAAATGGATGTAGCTATAAATTTGTAAAAGTGAAGCCTTTAAAATAGAAATAACTATGGACAAGTGTTCGTGTAATGAAGACTGGGCAAAGTTACAGCAAATCAGACAATCGGATGAAAATTCAGTCTGAATTTTGTTTTATCTAATTCTTTGCAGATCACATTCCAGATTTTTGGGTGATCGAGCAAATACTTCTAAAACATATTAGCTACTGAAGCGATTCAGTGCCGGGTCCACGGAACAACATGACAGTATGGAAGCGATTCAGTGCCGGGTCCACGGAATAACATGACAGTATGAGATTGATGGACACTTTACAACATGACAGTATGAGATTGATGGAAACTTTACAAAAAAAACCCAAAAAAACCCTGGATTTATTTTTGTTTTTTCTTTGCCACTCAGACTGTCACCGTTTTCATCTAGGTTAGTGTTAGTAGTAGTAGTAGTAGTAGTAGTAGTAGTTGTAGTATGTGTAGTAGTAGACTCATTACCATTTTATAGTACAATAAAAACTGTACCTACAGATGAGATAGTGGGTGAGGTAGGGTGTTAAAATGACAGTGTCGTCAGCATAACAGTGTATATTGATAATGTGACACCACTGTAATATAGGTTTACAGTAGAGTTTATAGAGAAGTGGACGTAGAACTGACCTTTCAGGGACACCATTGGCCAAAGTTTCATCTTTCTCCAAATGAAATGTCAATCTACAAACAGACCAACACATTTTTTTTAAATCAAAACAACAAATGTTTTGGTTTTTTACTTTATACATTTTTCTTCAGTTAAATTAATTTTATGATAACATTGAACTATTCTTTGATAATATTAATCTGTATTTAGGCCTAGTACTTCTAAAAGGGTGGGGCGGGCCCCCCTGGGGGAGAGTGGTGAGGGGCGTCCAATGGAATATGGCACGCTGGACATCAGTGGACCACTGCTGTAATGCATGAATGATAACAAGCCTCCAGCCACTAGATGGCAGCAACTCTTACAGTGGTGTAGAGGTAAACATATAATTGTTATCAGATTCTCAATAGTATTTCAATTCGTGGGGGTGTGGGTCGGGGGGGACACAGGGGTGTGTGAAAACATTTCTGTCCCCAAGGGGGGGCATGATAGAAAATAATTAAGAACCACTGGTTTAAGTTACAACCATCTCCAAAGTTCACCCATATCCATCTCCTCAATATGCAGATTAAAGGAAGCAATCGTATCTCTAAAATAGTAACTTCTAGTAACTCCCCTCCACCTCCTCCCACAGTAACTCAGCCAAAACTCTTTCTTTTCTGCCGCCTTGCGTTCATAGCTCTACCAAAAAAAAACAAAAAACCCCAAAAAACAGCAACTCCAGGCAGAGAACCTGCCTCCGACACTGAGACTGTACAGCAAACCTTTCTATACTCTGTGCTCTGTGTGGACGTGGGTGTGAGTGAGTGCATGACCCGTCAGTGTGTGTGTCGGTGTGTGTGTGTGGCCAGCGCCTGGCGCCTTGATGTGACCGTCCGGTGAATGTGCAGCATGCTGTGATGCCCAACGCTGTCCATGTGATGAACTGCATGTGGTGTCTGAACGCAACGAGACAACGGAACTGTCAATCAACCAAACACAGGTTGGATTCTTCTACGTGGGAAACTGAGGAGGTCCGTGTGAAGTTGAACGCGGGTTAACGGAGGCGTCTCATCTCAATTTGATTATGAATCACTCCACCAGTGGGGGGAAAAAAAGAAAAGATTACGCAACAAAAATTTGGCCTAAAAATCAAGATCCCATTGTTACACGTTGGTGTTTGGACGTCAAACAACAAATGATTGATTATCGACTTACCAAAGAGTTATTCACGTAAGATTCTTCCTTCACATCCAGAGGTAATTTTGACTGCAGTTCCAGTACTGACCAGCAGGGTGTGGCTGTAAAAAAAAGAAAATTTATTTGATGGAATTCTTACATTAGTTAGTTAGTACAGTTTTTAGCAAAAGTATATTTCACCAGATCTAGACCAGAATACTTTATATAAAATATAAGTAAATGATTATATATATTAA